TAAAAAACAAAGCTAGTTTTTGACCGACTTTTTTCTGCATGGGCAGAATTGGCTGAAAATTTGTTCCCTGGGGTAGTTTGACCTCCTGAACATGAATATCACATCCGCTCGGCACGAAACCTCCTGGCGCCCGCGCCACAGGCGCCGGCGCCAAAATACCTAAATCACCAAATTCGCTGAAAACTTGTTCCAGGGGTAGTCTGACCTCCTGAACACGAATATCACATCCGCTCGGCCTGAAACCTCCCTGGCGCCCGCGCCACGGGCGCCGGCGCCAAAATACCCCAAATCACCGGCGTCCTGTGGCAAGGGCGCCAGGAGGTTTTGCATTTGTATTCAGCAGGTCAAACTACCCCAGGAGACAACATTTGAGCCAAATCTGTCCACGGAGAAAAAAGTCGGTCAAAAACTGGCTCAATTCTGGATGGTTGGGGCAGTAAAGGGTAAATAGTGCCGGAACATTTCGCTAGCAGGCCTACATCTGGCTTCTACAAGCCGGTGTTCATAGGTTCCTCACCGAATCTACCATTAATTAATCAGCCCAGCAGGGATGGAAGGCTCAGTTGGTTCGTGGCAAAAGCCGGTCTTTTATATGACCCGCAGACTGCACGTGGTGAGCGACGTTACTTACGTGCCACTATAACACCTCCATCCTAGTATCACCCAATATATAATTTGCTAAGTCTTGTTTGTTTGTCTGCCCGGAAATTCGGTTCGACCTGAAGAAAAACTCGGAGAGGTCTGGTCAAGGTTGAGATGTGGTAGGCAACAAGATGTACAGAGCACACGTGACCCGTGCCAGGCCCCGCCCACAGTAGGCGGGGCATGCGCCGAAAGTTGCAGGTGCAGGAAAATTTATAACTCGCTCCCCGAGGATAAAGTGATATAAGGTTTAGCAAGGGGTTGACAAACTGAGAGACACACCTGAAAGGAGCGGAGCGTACTCGAGATGGGTGGTGCTTCTCGAAGAGTTCAATAACCTCGGTCCTCGAGATAGTTTATGAGTCGCAAAAAGTCGCTGGGGAATAGGGACATCTAGTGAAATTTGGGCATGCCTGTGCTGTGTTGAGACCCGCCCACAGTGGGTGGAGCTTGCCCTCAAGCATGTGATGCTTATTTTAAGAAAATTGTAGTTTGGTTCTAGAGCACTACAGAGAACGGGAAATGGTGAGTTAAGGTGGGCAAAAGATCAGCGGTTGAGAAATGCGAGACACACAAGTTGTGGGCGGGGCATGCGCCGAGATCGGCGGAGCCAGACGACCGGGAAAAAGATTTGTTCGAAGTAGGAAATAGGTCAGCGATTGAGAAGTGTGGGACACACATGTTGTGAACTGTGCCCACGCCGAGGTGGGAGGAGCCAGACGAAAAGTCCTTAGAATGGTTCCAGAGACCACAGACACCGGGAAAAAGAAGGTTAAGGTAGGCGGAAAATGCAATGCGGGACACGCACGGTGTGGGGGTGCCTGCGCCCGAGTTGGGCGGAGTCCAAGACGGCAAATCTGTAAAATGGCTCCAGACCCTCCAGACACCGGAAAAGAGTGGGTTAAAGAGGCAATAGGTAATTGACTGAGAAGTGCGAGACACACGTGTTGTGGGCAGGGCACGCGCCGAGGTGGGCGGAGCCAGGGTCGAAACTGCGCATTTCCGACCCATAATATATAGCTTCGACAGCGGGGAAAAAGTAAGTGAAGTTGAGCAGTGAAAAGGGGAATGATGTGGGGAGCACACCCAGAAAGGGCGGAGCGTGCACAGAACTGTGCACAGCAAAAGCCAAAAATTCTTGAGTCTATACTACAGCATCCCGGTAAAAATGAGCAGTGTATAAGATAATGGCCATTGCATTGAGATAGACATCGTCAATGTGGGCGAAACATGCGCCGAGATGGGCCAGGCAAAAGGTAAAAATTCAGGAATTGGATGCAATGCCCTGCACATGCAACAAGAAAAGTGAATTGAGGTCCACAGGCGGGAATGGGTGGGGGGTAATTTCCAGAACTAGCGGGCGGTACTTGAAACTGGCAGTGCCTGCCAAAAAATTTCATGACTTGGTCCTGAGAGAGTTTGGAAATCAGAAGGAATTGATGGAGGAGAGGAACGTCTGAGTGCAGCAACGGTGTGCTGAAGACCCGCCCACTGTGGGTGCGGCGGAGCTGCCTTCAAGCGCTAGGTGGTTACTTTTTTGATCGAGTTTTAGTGCAGGCAGCCATACACTTACTCACCGGTCGTCGCAGATATTTGATACCAGTCGGTTCGCCGGCTGACGCCGGCTTGCCTCCTTCTATGATTCGGTCCAACTTAGCCGAACGGGTGTGGCTTTGCCGTGCGTACCTTCTTTCGTATTCATGAATGTCCAACTAATTCCCGGCTTCCCTCTCATCTCTGCACTTGATCAACGCTCCCTTCATTCAGTAGACCGTTATAGCGTTGAAAATACCAGGTATGATGCTACTGTTGGGGAGCGTTGAACATGTGTACAGGTATGAGTTGAGTATTAAGTAGTATTAAAACATAAGAAGCTACGCGCGGCAAAGCCGCGACCGCCCGGCGAATTTGGACCGTGACGTAGAAGTAGAACACGCTGGCATTAACCCGCTAGCCGATTGGTGTTAATATGTCCTCTTACAGTCGGCCTAGGTTGGCGGCCTTATAGAGATTCGACTCCACTCTTTTTTTTTATTCTTGAATGCGCCCTGGTACCGCATTGCCACCGCCTGTAGCGCACGACATAAGCACCTTCGCGCAAAACTGATGTGATATTCTCGTTTAAGAAGTCAAATAATTCTGAGATGCAGCACTCTGGCAAAGACTGAGATTTTGACTCAACTTCGAAAGAGAGGGGTTAGGTTAGTCACGGCTGGATTGCAGCCACGAGTGATACTAGGTCTAGCCTATCACTGATGGCTGGTCTTCGAGATGAGTTAACTTTTTAATCATGCCTTCCTGCAAAGAGCCATACCTGACTCACTGTTAACATAAACTTCATCATTTCCCTAATAACTGGGAGAAAGTTCCACCCTAAGAAAGGTGATCGATGGTAGGTGAGATCCTGTGTGCTGCTACACACCCATGAAATCCCTCACGTTTTCGAAGTTAAAGGCACTTTTCGCAATAAACTAAGGCTATAACCTCTTAAATGTGTCAGATGATCCGGTAGGCGATTGTAGAGGTTGCACTGCATTCAAAACTTGCAAAATGGCACGCAAAGCACAGTAAACTTCGATTTTAGGCCCAAGGAGGCCCATGCCGGCCTACCTTGCCCGTGTCGTCGTACTAATGCCGTTGTGCTCTCTCGCCCGTCATTTTCTGGTCTCTCTCCGCGCTTTGCAGTGTATCGTCACCTTCTGCATATCACTGTTGATCTTGACCATCCTACTCTCGTCCGATGATCATGATCAAGTGCAAGGAGGAGGGTCATATTGAGGACGGTTTTTCATACTTTTCTCTTCACTACTAAGTCAACTAGCACAATGCACTCCTGTTTTTGAACTCTGTTACCTACGATGTGCAGTCGCGAGAAGTACCTTTGAAGTCAGGCTTTAGATCTGGCTAGAAACTTGTTCTCAGAGTACCCGCTGATCATGAGTATCACACTACATTGTTCAGTGCGAAAACCCTTGTGACATGTGTTACGAGGGGGACAAGGCCGAGCACTCTTCTAAACCTGGAGGGGTCTACATGAGAGAGCAGAGATTTTAGAAGTGTCGCTGGCCATGTTTCTGGAAAATGCAAAACCTGCGACTTACACGGGGATCGAGCCAACGACCAGTATTACAGCCCATCGTTATCCGTTGCGCTCTATTGCACGCGTTAACTTATCCTCTCCTCATTTACATGGAGACGATTTCACGTTTCCATACAATATCAGATTAGCGACAGCTCTTCGCGCTATCGCGTTTCACTTTCCGAGCTAATTCCCATGGGGGTTCCGACATTACATCTACGCACGAACTGCTCTGCAGGCACGTGCGCAGCATTCGCACCAACACATTCCTGATTTGATGTATACTCGAAATCCCTGAGATCGGGTAGGCGTGGCCGCATGTTTCAACTTAACCTGAAGGTGTCTATGCTTCTGGTGAGATATTTTCATCTTGACACAATTGTTGTCGTGTCTCTGTCCAACACAGAACAAGATGACAGTTGTCCCAGACTGGAATATTCCACGAGTAACCAGTTCCGTGCCATGTTCAAATGCCACGCCTACTCTGGCTCAGGGATAAGGAGTGTAGATGTGCTGTAGTGCGCAAAATCAATAGGTCTGATAATTTCATGCTATCTCCAACCTAACGCCTATATAGCGTCCCACATCCAAATCCACTGAGTTTTCACGAAGTAAAATGAGATGCAAGTGTTCCGTCATAGAAAGCATAACCCGCTCAACCCAGCTTCAGTTTTATTCTTAGAATCTGACCCAATTTTTTTCAGCAGTTGTTTAGTGTCACATCGGTTACCTGTGCTCGATGATTCGTTGGATGATCTTTGCCGTTGTCATGTCGCTTTTTGAGTCCACTTCACGATAGATACCTATAAAGACGAGAGAACTTCTTCTATACGTTCAGAATGACCCACATATGTACTTGGATAAGACAACGAGTACATCACTCGAGACACGATAATGTTCAATTGACGTTGCCATGAGTTTAAAGGCACGTTTCGCGACTATTCATAAGAAACAAAACCTTGTGTGGAGAAGATAGTGCGGGCCGCAATGGACAATCTTCTACAAGTTTCTCGCAAGAAAGCTGCTGGTTAGGGAATTGAAGACGTAAATATGGTCAACTGGCTCCAACTGAGCGCAAGTGCCTCCGCCCTTTGATGTCTGTCGTCTTGCTTGTCTGTCTACTCCCTCGTCCCTCCTATCGAGTCTTTCCCAATGTATCGTTGCTTCTGGCTCGAAGCAAAGGCAACATGGAGGGCGTTGTTGAAGATTCTACCGCTTCTTTCAGCTTGAAATGGTCACACAGTTTTGTTTTTTGACCCTGCAACTTCTTCATGGAATGTGCCTTCGAAGGGGAGATTGGTGTTTTTTCTACATGCTTACGTCGCCATAGTCTCTCAAGGTATCACAAAGAAAAAGAAGACGGAAACTTTCAAAAACTTAAAACGGTAACAGCTTTGAAGCAGTTGGCGTTCCAT